AGGAGTGATGGATGAACGCGGGCCGGTTTCTCGAAGACGAGCTTCGCTAGACTGACATGTTTATACGAAGCCTGTCTGTAAAGGTACCCGTGGCTTTGCTTTCGTGCTCCTCTTTTGTATATATGTTTCGAGCAAAGTGCGCTGCTTACGATTTATCCGGTGAATGCTACGAATACCTATTGCCGCGTCGAGTAGTCGAAAAGGGGGAGCGGGAGATGTTTCTTCGAATGGGGGACGCGGGGTATGGTCTTAAATGGGAAGTAATACAGTTGAGTGATTAATTAAAGTTGACGTTTATCGTGCCCACCTACGAAGCTTATAGATGATCCACCTGACAGGAGTCTGCTTTCCATTATTTGACGCATCATGTCCCTCTAGACGTTTCTGTATGCGGACTGATTTGCTATATTTTCAGAAAAAAATCATAATATCGACTCACATCGAATGCTACAACTCTTATTCATCCAAGATTTTTTTTCACATTTAGACTGATGCACGTAAACGCGCGGAAAATGAGTGACAGGAGTCACAACACAAGTTGCAAACCGGGTTTGATAACACTCGCGACGTCACAAAAGAAAGAGCTTGTGTTAGATCAAGTTATGAGTGTAAAAGCGTGGTCGTAATTGCCAGCGTAATTTTTCCTCCTTGGGTACATTCCTTGCCTTTTAAATAGTTATTTGTCTCACCTGCGACAGTCTGAAGTCGAAGCGCCGCGATTAGCTGGAAGATTCCAGAAAATTCATGGAAATTTCTGCGACCAGTTGGTAGTTTTCCAACGACCGGCCGGTAGTTTTCCACGAAATGACCACGATTGTCGCGCGATATACAGGTGTGAATTTATCTTCGCCTCTGCTCTTTAACACACCGGCCGTTTACGCTTACTTTCGTAAATAAGTCCTTCATCCTCAGTCAAACTTCGACGGATTCGCTCGGCTGAACCGTCTACAGATATCACGTTTAATATCAATATCGAAATTAACAAACATATTCGCTTTTAAATTTCAAGTGGATCTCGGCGGTTTCGAATGAAGTAACACGACCGCGATGCTTTATGCAGGGGCAAACGTTTCACGCATTAGGCTTTATTTGCATAGACGAGTTTGCTCAGTCTGGATAGAGTAAGTCGCAATATAGCGGCCCCGGGCAATCGAGAAGTATTTTATCGTGATGGACGATCTCTTTAATTGACGTGAAACACGGCCTTTTGTGCCGCGGCGAGGAAGGAATTTAATTCTTACACATGTACGTAGGAAAGAAGTGCACGGTCGAATTTTCCCGTGGAAATTCGTGCGTTATGTATACGCAATATTTACTATGTAAAAGGTAATTATCTGAAATCGATGAGCAGTTCGGCCCGAAACTACCCGCAAACCGCTTTGCGCAAATAACGTTTTTCGTGAAGTACGAAATAACGTACCGTAACTTTTGCAGCGGGCGTGGCGGTCTGCGGCATGAATAGAAAGCACCTTTAATTAAAAAGGAAAACTTACTGCCTCGAAAGAGATTACGAGCACATACATTCGTAGGTTTCGCATCGATGCTGTATATATCTTCTGGCAGTAATCTACGCTTCTTTAATCGATAGTCATGAGACAATTTGCAAAGTAACGAAAAGGAATGTGTATATATAAATAAATACAAACGTGGATATACCGCGGAACGTCGAATATCCGTGGAAAATGGCGCACAAAATTCGTACGGGCGTGTAATCCCTCGCGAGTACCCCCGAACGGATTCCCCGGATTGCGAAAACAACCCGTTCACTTCATATTTTTGTACGACGATAAGCGCGAAAACACAGTCTTGTGGAACTTCGAGTTCCGAGGAATGTATTTTCCCGCCGGGGAAATTGACTGCAGTTAACTTAACTGCGCAGCACGAAGTAATGTGACCGACTTACGGCTGACGGATTTCGAGCGGAATATGAATAAATTTATCGAAAGAGTACGCGTGGACGGGGCTGGGGAGGGGGG